TAGCGTTACTCTAAAGTCCGGTTCTGGCAACCTAGGAAACTCAAGCCCTCGGTTGAGTTTTTAGCCTCGGAAATACATTGTTATCATTTTTAAACAAAACCAATTCCACTGAATAAGCTAAATACACTAGACACCAAAACCTCCGGTTACTTAAAACTTAAAACAGTTTGACTATTAAAAAAACGGCACAAACTTCTCTAAAACAATAAATTACCTAGATGTTTCTAGATTTGAGAGAATTATTGGATTCTCGTGCTATGACCAGGGAAGCAGTGGCTGATGGAATTGAGCGACTCATGGAGTTGAATCCGCTTCCAGCGCTGTTCTATTGTACGCTCGTGATCGTATATAAGAAGGTAGTTTTGTTCTGAATCTTATCTCTCATACTCTATTCATGCAACATCTTATTGCAAATTTCATACATTCTTGCTATAAACAGCTTTTTTAAATAATCTCACACATCTCATCATTTTCTGTATATTTGTGAAATAACACGTAAATTGATTTGTTAAGCGCATAATTTGTTACAGTATCCTTCACTTGACAGTTTTCTTGGAAATATTGTCCAGAAAGTGATTGCCAAAGATCTTTCTTCTCGCGATGAAATCACGCGAAAAGCATTTTATAGAGCGCTCAACAGTCTCAAAACCGTGGCTTATTCTGTAAGTTACTTTGAAATTCATCTTTTCTATCTAAGAAATACTTTTGAGATGTTACAAATAACACTATGACTTACAGGCTATTTTGACCAAATTTACGATGGAGGAGTTTGAAGAATTTTTGGCATACAGTAACCGTACTGAAACACTTTCGGCATTAAAAGAGTTTTTGCCTACGCTCTCTACACATCAGCAGAAGAACATCAAGTAAGTCAATTTAACATCTGCTTCGATATCTAATGCTCGCTTTAATCAATGAGATTGCTCTTTCAGCGAAGCCATCGTAAATATGATCAAAGATCGAGATGAGAAGAAGGACAAAGCTAAGGATGAAAAAGACCACGAAAAGGACAAAGAGCGAGAACGAATACGATTGGACCGCCGAGATCGCGAAAGGGTTTGTTGCATTGTTGAGGCTATTTTCCTGCGTCCGCACATCTTTTCATTGTCAAAAACTTGATTTTCTTTTTTTGGATTTTTATGGGATTCAAATTACAATCTTTTTCTTTCTTGCCTTCACCTGGTCAACAACAGATCTTTTAGAAAGAACGACGTGAACGGGATTCTCGATAGTACCCTACCTTCTGCTACTCTGGCTCCCATCTGATTCATTCTGAAAACTAGATCTTATCTTGCAACATAGCGATCTCTGGTCAAGACTGTTTTCTTGTTTACGAGTCCGTTGTTTATTTCTTACTTATAGTTGAAGAATGTGAATGGTATATGTTGGTTTGTTAAGTTATCAGGGTTTTTGTGTAATTTGTATCTAAATTTGATTGTATATTCAAAATTTTTAGAAATAAATTTTTATCTGATTTTATTTGATTAATGTTGTTAAAGCACAAATCATGGTGCGCCAGTTCCTGATTGATATCTAAACGCCCATTACAGACGTAGATGACTTTCTTCCCCATAGAAATGTCACGACCTCCGCCGCAACCCGTTTTTGTGCACCATGGGTTTGTTGGAGGTGTGACGTCATGTGCGGTTGTCAACAGCGAGGGTAAGAAGGCAATACTAGTGGGCACTGGTGAAGGAAAATGCGAGTTATATGATGCAGAGACTCATATGCTGTTACGAATTGTTTATGGTAACTTATGTTCATAGTTCTCACTTTGCTCTTTTATAGAGGTTCAGTAGAGTAA